TGGGGTGCCCACGGTGTGATGGCGCCAGGCAGGGGCATGGGGTGCCCACGGTGTGATGGCGCCAGGCAAGGCTCCTCCTCTCGCCCCACCACCTGCTGAAGGCACCTGGAGGCTCTCACGCCTCAGATAGGTGGCTCAGGGCCTGCGTGCCCTTCAAGGCAGCCTGCTGTAGTGCGAGAGAGACAAACCTGCAGGGGTCGCGGGGTGAGGGGGCTGCAGGGCCTCCAGCTGGACTGCCTGTCCCCATCTCCCCTAGTGTTGCCACATGCCTGCTGTCCCTAACAGTCTGCCTCACCTCTTTCCTTTGCCTCAGCCTGAGTTTCCTGCCCAGAGCAAAGTGAGGGAGGGAAACCCTTCCCCTGTTCCCACCGTGAACATCCCTGCAGGCAACAGGCCCTTGTCTACAGTGATCTGGCCCCTCAGCTAGGGACAGGCAGAGAGGCTCCGGGGCCTTACCTCTGGCAGGCCCCACAGGCGATGGCCCCGCTGGCCTCTTGGATGGCGGTCTGGTGCACAAACACAGGGTAGGCGGTGTCGCAGGGATGCAGCATGTCCTGCTTCTTGTGCTTGTGGGCTGCAAGGATAGAGGCAGTTGGTGAGGAGAGGCATCATACTCTCCCTGCCGGTGCCAGCTGGCCTCCATGGTGTACCCCTAATGTCCGTCTCCCCACCAGGTCCTCTGCAGATGGCTCCAAGTAAGATTTCTCAGGACTGTGTATGGGGTAGGGGGTGGTGGCTGAGGCAGAGCAGCTGAGGCAGCCTGGGCGCCAGGGTGATGGAGCTCAAGCATGGGAGAACATTAGCTCCTGACCTTGGGGGGGCCGCTGCCTCTTTTTGGGAGCCTGTGTAAACTGGGGTTGGCACACATCCCCTCTTAAAGGGTCCTCCTAGCACAGACACCCTGAGGGTCTGGGAGGGGAGCAGAGGTGGTCGGGATGGTTGGGAGTGGAGACTTTAAGCCCTCTGTCCTTTAACCTGACCTTTTTTGTGGACACTTAGTGATGACCCTACACATAGCAGAATTGCTATCCAAGTGCTGCTCCTGGGTTGGCTTGGCCCAATGGTTACCTTGAAGCCAGGCTGAGCCCTCCCTACTGAGGAGTGATGGAGCTGAGTGCCCTTGCTGAGTCCGGAGGGCTGGCCAGGAGGTCTCAGTGCCCAAGGCCTCCTAAGCCCCCAGACGTAGCTCCCAGCCTTGGGCACTCATGGTGAGGTCAGCAAGATGACCTTCATCCACCCAGACAAGGGCCAGGGTGGAGCAAGCAGGACTCCTTAAAACCTATGGAAGGGTTGGACGCCCTGCTGGTCTCTGCTGGGGTCACTGAGATGGGCTCAGGCAGAACAGGCCTGCCCAAGGCCCCAGGGCAGGGCAGGTGGCCCACTTCCTTAGGAAGGAGCTTGCATTCTTTGGTGGCTCACACCCAGATGTGAAATGGGTAAGGCAGAAGACAGAGGCTGAATGACCAGCTTATGATCAGGCCCTACGCTCCTGGGAGAGGGAGGAGGGGCCTGGAGGAGCGACCTGCTCCAGAGCGGGCCCTGATGCATGGTTCCTGGTGCTGTCAGCAATGCAGGTGACCTGTCAGGGCCGCGAGGGGCGATTTCCAGAAGCAGCCTGGACCCACAGCAGGGGCGGGGCCATGTGAGCCAAGTGTCCCAGGTCTTTGCTTTAGTCAAAGGCCCCCAGGCCCTAGGGGACAGTAGAAAGCAGGATAAGAGTAAGCAGGAGAGAGGACAGACATGGAGATGGGTATCTTCTTAGGATAAGACACAGAAAGAGATGGGGGGGACAGAAGAGGAACTGTCCAGACAATGGAGAAGCTGCAGAACCTAGTCGGAAAGGTTCTGACACATCGGTGAGTCAAGTGGAATGAGTCCCAGCAAGGTGGCCTGGGATGGCTTTAGGAGCCCCATGTCCCCAGGATGTGCCAGTGCATCCGTATCCCTTGGTGTTCCATGCCTTCACCTCATTCCCCAGGGCTGTGGACAAGTGTTGCAGTGGCTGGGATGAAGTTATTACTTCGTGTCAGGACCTTGTCACCATGTCACTACCTTCGGGGGACTCTGTCCTCACAGGTTTTAGGTGACCACTATCTTGATCTAGGGCCCTGCTGTGGGCTGCAGGACACGTGGCCTGCAGAAGTGGCATCACTTTTTCCTCAAGGGGTGACCTAGTGGCTGCCAACCTGCACTAGACCACATTTCCTCCTGGATCCTCGTGTGTTCTAACCCACGGAGATGGTTGGGGCAGGGCTGTGCTTATGTGGGCTCCTCCCTGCCCCCCACAAGGTCTCCTGAGTTGGGATGACCCAGGACGAAAAATGTCAGCCTTTCCTGAGCTCAATCCTGGGATGTAGAGCAGAAGGCAGGTCCTTCACAGCTCCCCAACCCACTACGGCCACAGGGAGCTCCTCAGACGATGCTACTTACAGTGATGGAAGACAGCTTTGGCTGCCCAGAATAGCAGCCCAGCACAGAGTGGACACAGCACAGGACGGGCATGATGTCACACACAAGCAGATGTCACAGGGTGGTGGTGATGTCACATGGAGTGGTGGTGTCCCAAGGTGATGAGGTGTTGCACAGAGAGGTGAAGGAGCCAGGAGTGAGTGGTGGCAATGAGAGAAGGCCACACAGGATGAGACTCTGGACCACACATACCTCCAGCCCCATCCCATGGCACCCCACCCTGTGACAGGTTTCCAAGATCCGGACCAAAATGCCACCTGGCCGTGCGGTCCAAACACTCACCATCAGCCCCTCTGTTGTGCCAGGAGTCCCACGCACTCCATTCTAGCAGGAACCTGTGAGACACGGAACTGAGTCTCGGGCACTCAGAGCCTACACAGGCCCCCTGGTGCCCCAGCGCCTCCATTTCCTCCCTTCCAAAACACCCTGGTCCTGTTGAGGCCTCTGAGTGACAAAGGTCTCTCTAGAAGAAGTGGGCAGGAAGGAGGGAGGAGATGCTACCCCCTCCCCCAGGGCCCTGCCCTCCTTCCTTGGTATCTGGGAGCAAATGTGGGGTGCAGAAGCCTCAGTCCTGATCAGAGGACTCCTTCTCCAGGCGCACCAGCACGGTGTCCTATCTTCAGTTTCCGCCTCACCCCCTACTTACAGCAAGAGCTCCTTCACCAGCCACTTGGTTGCCGTCAGGAAGGCTGAGATTGGCTGGGGAGGAGAAAGCAGGGCACACATTTGAACAGGTCCAACAGCTACATGGTCCCTTCACCCTGGGCCCAGCAGGGAGCAGCACAGAGCACCTCCTGCCTGCTGCCTTCCACCTCCCCCGAGGAGCGTCCCACACTGAGCTATCAGACAATGTGTTTGGATGTCAGACACGTTGAGGCTTCGGCTTGCTCTCTCAGAAGCCCGGCCACATTCTCATCCTGGTGGCCCCAGTGTGGAGGACCCTGACAATTGGTGTGTGACACTGGGAGATGGGGCTTGGGACAGTCAGTTCTTTGCCTCTGAGGCTCTGTGGTCTCAGGAGCTGGGCCCCTGAGGATGAAACCTACAGGCCTAGTGGGGTCGGGCTGAGCGTTAGAGATGGACAGAGTCAAGGGTGGCCCGAGACCTAAGTCTGGGCAAGAAAGGGCTAGTGAGCTCTCCGAAGTGCAGGGAAATGGTGTGCATCTGGTGAGGGGCAGGGCCTGGTGACACTCACGCTGGCCAGGGGCTGAGCAGAGCTGTGGTGGTGATCCGGGGCTTTGCACATGGCCTGGTAGTCGTACATGGTCACTCTGAAAACCAGAAACAGGGTGTGAGAGGAGGAGCACACTCCCTAAACCTGCCCAGAGACAGGGTCACAGCAGGACTGCATTCCCTAGATCCAAGAGGATGCCCACTTAGGCCGGCAGGCCAGAAGGCAGGGCCTACCGAAAGCCACGCCTGCACTTCAGAAGGGCCTAAAGAAAATGAGCTGTGTGCGGCCAGCTTCTCGCTGGGTACTTTTCCCCTGAGGGCTTAGCTGGGGCTACGGGATCCCCCAGCAATGTCCTCACGGCCGTGTGCTCCTCATGCCTCATGTCAAGCCTGTGATTCCAGAAAGGCTGATTTGGGGCCGTTTGGTTACTTCACTGTGGGTTCCTGAGGGCCATCAGGATCCTATCATGGCAGCTCTGTATCTGTTGAGTCTGGGGCGAGATGACCACTTACTGGCTGAACACCCCCACACCGAGCAGCTGTGTCATGAGGGCACCATCCACTTCCCCGAGAAATCTTCCTGTCTGTCAGAGAGCAAGAGAGAGCCAGCAAGTGAGGACTGCGGAATGTGAGCTCAGGTGTGAGTGTCACAGAGCATGCTGTCCATGGAACCCGAGTGGAGCCTGCTTCCCATGCTTGCTGCCTCCCTATGCGCCATTCTCCGCCTCAGAGCTTTCTACTCCAAGCTGCAATCTGGTGGCTGGCCAGGAAATCAGCCTAGAGGTTACAATCAGATTTTTAAATGGCACAAAATTCCTTAGAACAGTTCAATGCGAATTGCTTGCAGGAGGGTGAAGGAAGTTTTTGTGAGACTTGATATGTTGTATGTGTTGTGTGCCCGTGTGTGTGTGTGTGTGTGTGTGTGTGTGTGTGTGTGTGTGTTGTCTTGTGCACACTGGCATTCTTATCATCCAGCCCAAGAGGGCAGGGAGCTTGGTAAACCTGGGTTTGGTCACACTTCTCATTATTTCCAAACTATTAAAATAGGACAATCCCGCCTCCTTTCTCCTTTAACAATGCCCTCAGCCAGCTTTCAGGGGGCACCTAGACTATGCGCTCAGCAGCATCTGCCGTAGCAGGAAAGCCTGCTGCTCTGCTCTGCTCCAAACTGGCTTAGACCCTGCTGCAACTGCTGTCCCAACACGCCCCATGGGCTGGCCTGGCCTCCTAATTCTGCTGTCTTCTCAGCATGGCAGGATGGATTTGGAGACTTTGGTGTCAGATATAGGTATGATGTAGGTCATCTGAAAGATCAGGGATAACATGACAAGCTTGAGGTGCATGGGAAACTGCAGTTGTTATTACAAGATGCCTGTGTCCAGAGGGCTGTCCTCCCTGCCTTGAGCACCCTGGCTTAGTTCCCACACCAAGAACTTTCCATCGGAGATGTCTTCCTGTCCTAAATGCTCCAGTTAGAAGTCGCCCCTATTTCCTCTGCACTGAGGGCCAGGCAGATGGCAGTGGAATAAGTGCTTGTCTGGCAAGTGGGAGGTACTGAGTTCGATCCCTAGTACCACCAAAAAAAAAAAAAAAAGTAAATCCTCTGCACTTCCTCTGAGGGCTTAGCTGGGGACTATGTGAGAGCTCATGGCTCCACATCCCTTTAGCCCTATTGCCTCCTTGCTCGATCACATACTTAGTTGTCTTATGCCCCCATTGTGTGGAAAGCTGTTGAGGAGAGGGACCTTCTCTTACTCATCTCTGAATTCCCAAGCAACCCTGGATAGACTTGGGGAATTTGGGCTGGGCAAAGAGGCAGGAGTCTGACCCGGTGGCTGTGGTAAAGTCTCAGGGCTTTAGTGAGGGTGGAACCACATCAGCCAGAACCTCAGTTTCAGGTCAAGGTGGAAATCAGGTCCAAGGAAGGAAGCACAAAGAACAGTGAGGAGAGTAGGACCCCAGGCAAGCAGAGTCCCTGGTCTTGCGAACTTTCCTCTGTGGACAATGAACTGTGAAACACCTAAAACAATGGCATACATTTTATCTGCCTATAAAAAGAAATGCCACCCCGGCATAGGGTATCCAGACGCCCTGGATATGCCAGACCTCAGGAGAGCCAGGTGTTGTCTGGGAATCCCCGCTGGGGGCCTTCTCCAGGCGGCTAAGTGGATGTTAGGGACTCTTAAGCAAACAGATTAATTTCAGACAAGGGCCAGCCAGGATGTGGGGCTGCTGGGCACAAGATCAAGAACTGGAGAAGTTTTCTTTTAAAGAAGAGATGATGGTACTGTTTTGGGTAGCAATCCTAGCGACATTCTGCATTCTATGTCACAGTCTAAGCAATTGGGAACAGAGGCCTCCAGGTGGACCCAATTTTGGAATCTGGGATAAAGTCAAGAAATGTCACTTTCCAAATCAATCAATCAAGAAAATATAACCTTTTCATCTTATAGTATTACTTCTTTGGAAATAGCTCAATTATGAAATCAAAATGTCAGGATACAAGTCACAGAAAATGTATAGCAAAACTATAATCTAAAGAACTGTAAATTAAAGACAAAAGTGAAGCAGAAAACTAAGAATTAGTGCCAAAGTAGTAGTTAGACATGTCTGAGTTCTGCTTTTTTTGCCTGAATGCCCTGACCTCCAAAAACTAATGTTTAGCATTCTTTATTCATAAGACACAAACTCACTAGGAAAGTGTGATTTAAAAAATGAATCAGGAGCTGGAGAGATAGCTCAATAGTCTAAGTACCTGCCAGGCAAGCACAAGGACCCAGGTTTGATCCCCGGTACTGCATGCTGTGTTGGCCCTGCGCCAAGTCAGCCACCGAAACCAGGTGTGGTGGCACATGCCTGTAATCCCAGCACTGGGGAGGCTGAAACAGGAGGATCACTACAAGTCCAAGCTGCACGGTGAACCTCTGTACCAAATAAGTTTAAAAAAAAAGAATGAAATTAATAATAATCCAGAGCTCATGGGGCTGGTGAGATGGCTCAGTGGTCTAAAGCACCTACTTAGAACAAGCTTAGCAAAGCACAGGGACCGCGGTTCGGTCCCCCAGCACCACATGCCAGCCAGCCCCGCCCCCTGGTGGGGCTTCATGCAGAGGTGGTGGACAGGACAGCAGACAACAGGGAGCAGCCAAGGGCAGTCAAGGGAGGGACAGTGCGGCAGGTGGGGAGGTGAGAACTTCCAAATCCTGTTGTTCCTCAAGGTCCAGCCCAAAGCCAGAGAGAATGGGTCTCTGACTTGAGCAGTCCTTCTCAGAGGGCTCGCTCCTTGCCATTCCACTGACTGTGTGGACATTGTTCCTCCAGCCCCAGACAGCAAGATCCTGGAGGGTGGAGACCCACCTCTGGCCCCCAGGACCACACAGCAGCGGTTCTGTGTATTTCCTGACGGAATGTGTGAGAGAATAAACGACTGGCACGAGTCTTCCATTTCCTAGGACAAGACAGCAGTGCGGAGACCATGCCCCTGACGACGCTGGTCCGACTTCTCACAGGCCTCAACCATTCTCTCTCCTAATTTTAGCTTCATTCACAAATAACTCTTGTTGTCAGGAGTTCCTTCTGAGAAGGGAGATTCCTGAGAGTTGTCCAGTGTAACCTGGACACCGGAAAAACGTTTCTTCCTCTGCAAATAAAACAACTTAAATTTCCTAGACTATGTCACTCGGCAGAAAAGGTTCACTCTTCGCCCTTCTTTAGTAAGGTGACCTAACAGCCCTAGCAAAGCCCTCGTCGCTAATATAAAGGTAAAAGACTACATTTCCCAGAAGCCTTTACACTAAGGACTGTGGCCAATGAAATGTGAGCAGAATAACACAAAAGGAAGTCGAATTAAGCAGAGAGGATGCTGCTGTGCTGCTGGAGGCGCTGCCCCCCTTCTTTGACCCTCTCTCTGGCCTGGGAAGGTGACTAGAAGGCAGGCAATCCCTTGGCAGTGTTGTCATTTTAGTGTGGTGATACCTGGTAACTTCAGGAAGCAGTTCAGGCCTGGGTGCTCCATCCACTCTTCAGTGGAAAAATCAATCTGTAGTTCGTTTCAACCACTCTGTATAGTGGGGATCCTGCTTCTGGCAGGACAACACAATGCTAAGCTGATACCATTTCTTCTGGCTTTTGTCAGAGTGAATGAATCAGTGGCTCAGATCAAAGCCAAGGTCCACACTTTGGCTTTCCCGTGTATTCAGGGGGACCCGTGTGTTCAGGACCGCAGGCTGAATGGGAGGCTGCGCCTCAGCCCAGCACTGTAGAGGGTCTCGGGGCTCCTTTCAGGGCATAGTCCTTGCATTAGTAATTGTCCTTGGGCTGACTGAACTTGGCGGAACCAAAGGGCCTGGGGCTTCCTGGGTTTAATGAGTCTGACAGGGAGTGCAGGAGGAGGTGGCCCCACAGCAATGCGCAGAGGTGGGGCACTTGATTTTCTGGGCTTTGCTGTTTGGGGTGAGAGTTGTCATCCAGGAGCCTGAAGAAGGAAGCAGATGGGCTGCAGGCAGCAGTGAGCTCCAAACTAATTATATTCCTGCTGGTTGGGTGGTCACCCCTGTGGGGTAATCTGCAGATTACCACGGGAGGCTGCAGCTCCCATGGGCCCTGTCCCCAGGGAAAAGGGGTGCTCTCAACTGTGGTGATGATGGAGCTACAGAGCGTCCTCACCTAGGAACAGCTTGAGTTTCTTCTCTTAATGGATGGGCAGGTTTCTCCACTATGAACCCGATTTCCTTCAGTCCCTTCCTCCTGAGGCCCAGCTGAGCTGAGTCCCTTCAGCCACATGGATGCGGTGATGGTTGGTGGGAAGGCTTGGGAGGGGCGTGGAATCCGTGTGGCTCTCCAGTAGGCACCCAGAGAGCCTGCCTGTGTGGGGATGGGACCTGGTGACTGGATAGATTTCATTCCTGTGGCACCCATGGGGCAGGGGCATTTGGGAAGCTGGGAAGGCAGAAGGGGAGCTGTGGTGAGGCACCAGGGAACTGGAGACATAAGGACTAGGCTGACTGCAAGGTGGGAAAGGAGAAGGGAGCTGAAGCTCGGGACCGGATGTCTGTGATGACAGGGGCAGAAGTGGGGATAATGTTGTGCCTCTCAGCCATGGCCCAGGAGCAGTGTGCTGAGGTGGGGCACTTGATTTTCTGGACTTCGCTGTTTGGGGTGACTGCTCTGAAGCTCCCTGGGTAGGTGCTGCCCACAGACAAATGACAGGAACTGGAGTCCCTAGGCCCAGAGTGACAGACCCGCTGTAAATATCACAGACCTCGACAGAGCCACTGGTCCTGGTTCCACACTGTCCACATCACTCTCTAGCCCCTTTTATTATAATTTTTTATTAAAAGAATGAGCGCAGAATACATTCTGTCTCAGAAGACAGGTCAGGTGGGGCCCAATGTCTGATCAGCAGGTCTAGGGCACTGCCAGGACTGGGAGAAAGCTACCAGCCACTTCAGTAAGCAGGCAGACTGCAGATAGCTCCACTGGGCTCCTGTGTAGGATGAGAGGGCCTCAGGTGAGGGTACGCAGGGTGGGACTTCTGGAGGAAACTGCATGTGGAGAAGCAACATTATGTTCTCCACGCCCTGAGTGGATCCTACAAGGGACAAGGGCATCCAGAACCTTCTCCATGTCATGCATCTAGGAAGATGGGTACAGCCAGCCAAGGTCTATCCAAACCCCAGCAACTGGCAAATGACTTGAGCAAAGCCTTCAACATTTCATTGTGTACCAAATGACCTTGAGGTGTCATTTAAGCACATGCTGCCAGGCCATCCCAAGGCTTCTGAGTCCCTAGGTCTGAGGTGGGCATTGAGACAAGCTCTTTGACGCTGGCGTTCTATGCTCCATGTATTCTTTGAGGTCCAGGGATGAGGGGATGAGCAGGGAGGAATGAGCTGAGGAGGGCCAGGCTGGATGGCCCTTGATGGCCCTTGTGAGTGTTTGGAGAAGGTGGCAGGTTGTGTAGGTGGGTGGGTGGGTGCGGTAGGTAGATCCAGAAATGGTCCATGATCCAGGCCCTGGGAGCTGTGCCCTCCCATAATCCTCTCTGCTGGAGAGTCGGTTAGATTTGCCCACTGACTTTTAGCAGCTAGAATATGGTAAAGCCCTCGAACATCACTTTGGAGATGAGGCTTTGAAAGGCCGTGCCTTCCTCTTGCCTGTGCTCTCTGGCCCATTCATGGCCTGGCATTTGCTCTGATGGTGTGGGTGCCCCATGTGGGAGTCGGTGTGATAGGGAGCTGAGATGCTTCATCACAGCAGCCTGCTGGCTGACAGGAGAGAGCTGGAAAGTGCATCCTTCCCGGTCAGCCTCACGGTGACTGTAGCCAGATGAGAGACCCCAACTCAGAGGCATTCAGCTGTCCAGAACCAACCATAGCCAGATTCCTCACCCACCAAAATCCCCAGATTGTTACCCCTGCAGCTTTAGCTTCTAATTCTGGGGCGCTCTGCTACACAGCATTAGATAACTGCCTCAATACTGGATGAATGAGGTTTTAAAACAAAAAGCAAAACTGGACAGATACACAGATGATAGATGGACAGATGGACAGACAGCCAAACAAGCAGCATTAGCACCAGGCTGTCTACCTCTTCGTCTTTCACTCTCCTTCCAGTCACACGCCTGTCACTTCTAGGTCTTGCACTAAGACCAGTTCAGCTTCCCATACAGTTAATAAGTGTCTGCTTTGGGTCAGGGGTCATATCAAGTGGCATCTTTGGCTGGGTACCTCTCATAACCTGACCTAGCCCAGTTAATGAGGGAAGAGTTGTCCAGAGTGAAGAAAGAGGAACTAACTAACCACTGTCAAGATACCACCACTGCAGAGTCTTGGAGCCTGATCCCAGAATCAGGGCTCCTGGATCCTTGTTTCTGGCTCCATTAGTCCGGACTTTGCGAGATTCAGCCAAGTGTGATGAAGTGAATGAACTGCTCTGAGCAGTGACGGCGTGACTCAGAGAGGATGCCCACCCAAGGGGCTGGGAATTGCAACCCTCTAGACCAGGTCTGTCTCCCGAGGTCACCAACTCTACCCTACAAATGCGTACATCTTATAAAAGCCAGCTTGGTCTTCTTGCTAGGGGGCTTTTCTAGACGCTCCCCTCCTTCTCCATTACTGCTCTTCGGTTGTATTTTTAGGTTCAAAGTCTGCATTCCTGTAGCTGTGAGTTCCGGGGTTACTAATGGAACCTCACAGCCTGTTTGTTTTCTTGGGTGTAAAAATGAGACTAATATCAGCACAGAGGAGGATGGTAGGAGGGAGCCAAGCACAAGCTCATGAGATCTATGCCCTTCATTGTGCTTGACTTCACAAAGGATTTGGGGTGCCTTATAACGCTACATACAGCGTAAGAAGATAGTATGATAATTGAGAAAAGAGGAGCGCACAAGCTAAGCAAACATGAACACAAAGCTCTGGATAACTGATAGGACCGCAGTTGTTCTCAGTGATACCATAATCCATGAAGATGTGAGCAGCTGTCATCTGAATAGGACCAAATAGCCTGGCGGGTGATGCGAAGGACCCTGTGGGACTGTCCAGAGGTGCCCCTTGGGGTAGCTCCCAGGCTGGGGCAGGCTGCCCACTAGGCCTGGCTCCCTGCAAGCTTGTCCCAGCTGTCTGGAGCAGAGCTTGCTGAATCTGGGTCAATGGAGAATTATGCGGACCCTTGATGAAGAATGTTTTTTTGTTTTCAAAAATCAAAAGACCAATACATTTCGTGGCGTAGGAAAATTTAAATTTTCCTGAAATTTGGATTTCAGTGCCTGGAACAATGCTATGCTCATTCTTTATGTACTGCCTATGGCTGCTGCAGCAGAGTGTGAAGCAGAGGCTGACTCAGAAAGCCTAACCCCCTAACCTGCGCTTTCTGTCCCTTTCTTTACAGCACAAGCTGGCCGACCCCTGCATGGAGCACAGTTTCCTGGACTGGGTGCCCTTTCTTTGTCTTGGGCCCTTCCACCTGTCCATGCATCCTTGCTGGCTCTGAAACTCCTTGGCCCAGGGCCTAGCTCCAGGCTCCTCAAAGCTAATATTCCAAGAGGCCAGGAGCTGCCAGCTTGATGACCCAGGCGGCAGGAAGCAGAGCGCGAGTGACTGAGGGCATCGGGTCACTCCTGAGCCTCATCCCAACTGTAGGTCTCAACCCCCGATGTCAGCATTTTTTCTGCAAAAGCAACAGAGACACTAAGCTGAGCAGGTGACATGTCTAGAGAAGTACGAAGTGGCCCCAAATAAAAGGGAGCAGAGGGCAGGCAGAGGCAGATGCCTAGGTAACCACAGCCATCAGTGAGCTGTTGGGGTCCTACAGATCGTTATGATCACCAGCCTGGCCCCCACTCCTAGTGTGAGGAACACAGGAGACAGTCTTTCTCTCCACTCACCTCGCTGCATCTTTAGTGGCCCATTTAAAGGCTGGCCTCCAGGGGTCGGCCCCATGGTGCTTTGTGTCACTGCCCCCAGTTGCTGTCTTCCCATGTCCTGCTGATGCTCCGGCGCTAGCTCCTGCCACATTCTCACAGCCTCTGTGGACCCTCACCTCCATCCAAGTCAGGCCACCACTGCGCTGTGGGGCACAAAGGATCTCAGACTTCAGGCGGCCTTCCTCCCTGGGGTTCAGCCCTCTGATTTTAACAGAAGGAGGCTGAGACACAAGTGATGCAATTTGCTTGCCCAGATCCTATATATAATTAGTGGCAAAGCCACACTGAACTGTACTATGACCTTCCACTGAAGTTTAGCCTGGAGGCCACATAAATGCCTTGGGCTTGTTTCAGGGAAATCATTCAGGTGAATATATTCAGGTTTGGCTTAGACTTCTTTTATGCTGGGATTCTTTTTTTTTAAAATTTTATTTATTTATTTATGTGTGTGTGTGTGTGTGTGTGTGTGTGTGTGTGTGGCCAGCTCAGCCCACCAGGGGGCGGGGCTGGCTGGCATGTGGTGCTGGGGGGTTGAACCGCGGTCCCTGTGCTTTGCTAAGCTTGTTCTAAGAAGGTGCTTTAGACCACTGAGCCATCTCACCAGCCCTATGCTAGGATTGTTGACTAATCAGCTTTAGGGTTCACTTTCTGGCCCAGCAAATATGAGAACAGTAATATTCTCTTGCCTTTCGGAGCACATGCTGGGTCCAGACAGAAGCCACGTGCCAGAGGGAGAGGAAGGATGCACACGGCCGATGCCGAGAGTGCGGGTCGTTCCATCACCTCATTCTCCCTGGGCACACCGAGGTGGTGTGGTGGCTGGAAGAGGTGTTTCCACAAGGATGTCCAGGAAGGAAAGGAACACCGGGTAGAGGAGACCCAGTGCTTCTGGGCCCCATGGTAGAAAGGGGTGGAAGGAGGGGGGAGTGTGACAGCAAGCAGTGGGGCGCTTGGGACTCTGGAAAAAGGCCCCTGAAGGCCAGGCCAGCTCAGGACACAGAGTGTAGTGCAGTGCGGGCAGGCAGCTTTGAGCCTCACTGCTCCTGTGTGTGGGGTAGACACTTCTGCTCCACCCAATGGAGGGGTCGGATTAGTTACAGATTGAGATATAATAGTTTCTCTGACCACCTAAGCTGAAAGATGCCCCACATTTTGTAATCTTGGTATGTGGTGGTTCTGGCTCTCCCTTTCTCCCCAGTGGCTTACCTCTTGCAATCTCTCTGAGATTAGGATGAAGCCATTGTTGTCTATGACGAAGCAGTCCAGCTCCTGGGGAGAGGTCCAGAAAGGAGATTATGACTAAGTGTGCAGCAGCCATAGACCCCTGATCCTCCCATGTAATCCATTAGTTTGTTCTTGATGGGGTGGAGGGACCCCCTTGGGGCCCAGGGCTGCAGGGAAGGCACTGCAAGAGAGGGGTGCTGGTTCATGGGGAGGGGCGTGAGTGAAGAGTGCACAGCCCCCACTTCCATCTAGTTCACTTGGGGAAAACTCACACTGTCCTCACAGCTCTGTGGACACTGCCCATCCTTGGCACGGCACTGCAGGAAAGAAGGGAGGGGTGAACAGTGTACAACCACGTGTGTGTGTGTGTGTGTGTGTGCATGCGTGTGCTGCAGTGTGTATGCTGCTGTGTGGGGTGTGCTGCACCTGGAGGAGTGTGCTGTGTGATGTGCATATGGCATTGAGTTGGGGCTCTGCCATGGCAGGCTGGGCTCTCCTGGGGGGCTCATGGTCCCTGCACCTTTAGGGCCTCCTGCAGCACTGCTGGGGGCCCTCCAGGGAACTATAAGGGACTCAGATGGTCCCCATTTGTCCTCCTGTCCCTTCTCCCCCATGCTGTTTCTCCAAACATGGTGCAAATGAGGACAGGGCAGCAAATGACCCGTGAAGGGAGGCACAGAGGTGGCAGCTTTGGTCTGGAGGAGGTGAAGGAGACATGGTGGACTCCTGGGGGATCAAGGACCAGGCCGAGAGCCTGAGGGACAGAGGAGAAAGAGCAGAGGTACTGGGCAGGGCCAGGCATGGCTGTGTTCTCTGCAGAGGGCAGTGAGTGAGTGGCTCTGGGTTGGCACCTACAATGCCCAAAGGAGGTGCATGTCCTGTCCTTTGCTGCTGGGCCCCTGTGGGGAGACAACATGAGGTTGGGGTGAGCAGGGACCAGAACAGAGGCCTGGCCTGCATGGCCATGGCTAGGAGAGCCATGGCGGTGGGGAGGGGTGAGCTGAGGGGACATCATGGTAGCTCCTGAAGGGTGATGGCCCGGGCAGTGGGGTGGCAGGGCCCACCTGGCACATCCTTTAGCCCTGCTCTCACCCACCTGCTGTGTTGCTGCCCAGAACTGGCGTTGGAGGAACTCCACCTTCATCTGGATGCCTACCGCTGGCCGAGGCAGGAGAAGGGTGGCAGGGCCAGGTGTTGGGGGAGAGGGGACAGCGGGAGGGAACAGACAGCCAGAGAGAAAAATAGCATCAAGTTAAAGGAGGAGGTGCAGGAGCAGGAGCTGGGGAAGTGAGCTGTCGGGCAGCAGGCACAGAGGGGGCTGAGTCAGACCTGAGTAGGAATCTGAGCCTTGGGGGGAGTGGGAGGCTTGGGGGAGAACAGCCAAGGGGCTGCTGGCTCTGCCTTCCCCATGAGGACAGCAGTGTCAGAAAATATGAGAGAAAGGCAGAGACAGACACAGGGCTCTAGGTCCTGAGCACGGCCAGGTCAGAGCCATCCCTGGCTCTCTGGAGCTCAAGGTGTCTGCACAGGGAGTCCATCCTGTCCCTTTCGCCAAGTGGAGAAACACAGGCTGCTGAGTCTAAGCCAGCTGGACAAAGTCCCATGGCCAACGTGTGGGACTGAGGCTGGGCCACTGTGAGTTGGGTGACCCAAAGGCCTTCTTGGGTCTTCATCTTGGCGTAAACCCTCTTCTGCACCCATCTTGCTTTGTGCCATCCTCACATCGGATGAGAGCTCCCTCCCTGCTGACAGTCATGAGCAGACTCGCCCAGCTTTGCAGGCAGATGCTGGCAGCCTGGATGCCTCCGGCGCCCAGTGCTACGGCTTTGATGTCTGTGCTCACCTGGGCCACCCCACCTCTTTGATTCCCAAATAGGCTTGGAGAACCCAAGCGGGTGCTTATAAGTGAAGAGAAATCTGGGACAAAGAGCTCCAGGAAAACTTGGGGCCAAAGAATAGAGAGAAAAGGCAGGTTATATCGAACAGAAAAAGAATTTTAAAAGTAGGCCAACGTCTTAGTGTCTGGTATAATAATATGGAGAATGTGTTGGGTAATGCGTCAGACACTTTACTATTATTATTCTGATTTTACAGGCTGAGGACAGGGGCCGTGTACAGCTTACGTGGCATACCCAAGTTGCCCAGCTAGTAAGCAGCAGAACCAGGGCTCTAACTTCTGTCTGTCTCTAAAGCGTAAGTGCTTGAGTTTACCACTGGGCACCTGGATTAGAGTCCTGGCAGTTGGGAAGGGGCTGCAGGTCATGGGGAGGCCTCTCTTCTACTCTGGGCTTTGGTTTTCTCATCTATGAAATGCATACAGGTCTGGTTTGTCAACCGTTATTCCATATGCAGGAGAAATTCCAAAGTCACCTCAGTGGTCACTGGGAAGATTTCCCCCTGCCTGGGACACTGCAACAATGCACTGGAATCCTAGGATGACCCAGAGATTGAGAATCACATCATTTTCCCTTCAACTTGAAATGAGCCTAGAGAAATTGGATGGAGGGAGGGGAAAAGGGAGAAGAAGGAAGGGAGAGAGAGGGAGGGGGGAAAGAGAGAGAGACGAGGGGAAGACAGACAGAGAGACAGAGAGAGAGACAGAGAGACAAGGGGTAGAGTTGCAGGGCTGATTTTCCAGGGTTGTGATCTTTGAATTTATTTGCTCACTTGTAAAGTGAATCAGGATTGTAGTTACTCTAGAAGGGCAGAATGAGCGTGCACCACGGATGCTCCAGGGAGATGGGGCGCTGAGAGCCTACTAGGCCTGACTGTGCTTTGGATTTCAGACCTTGGTGTGTATCAGCATCACCTGGAAAGGTGGTTAAGACCCAGAAGGTCTGGGGGGTAGGGCCTGAGAATTTGCATTTCTAGATAATTTCCAAGTGGGGCTGCCTGCTGCAGATCCTGCAACTGTTTTGGGAATCCTTGTTCCATTTTTTTTTTTTTTTAATTTTAGGGAGGGGTCTACAGGGTGTTCAGGGTCTCACTACTAGATCAGACTCATAGTGATTCTCCTGTTTACAGCCTTCCAAGAGCTGGGATCACAGGCACGCGCCACCATGCCCAGTCTCAAATGTCATCTCAGCACGCCCCAGGGGTTGGGGCCAGCACAGCAGACCCGGGGATTGAACTCCTGGCCCTTGTGCCTGCTTGCAGGCACTTTAATCCGCTGAGCTATTTAGCCAGCCCGGGAAGCCCTGTTCTAAACCATCCCTGTCTGATTGGGCTTTCTAGGGTGATGGAGATGACCTCATCAGTGCTGCCCCATGCCACAGCCATGAGCACAAGTGACTGCCAAAGCATAAAATACGGCTAGTGACCGATGGCCTGGATTCCTACAATGCTATGTGATTCTTTTTTTTTTTTTTCATCTTTTGGACACAGGGCCTTTCTATGTTGCTTACACTGACCTTGAATTCATAATGATCCTCCTGCCTTGGCCTCCCAAGGGCTGAGATTACAGGTGTATAGCATCACACTAGACTTAAAATGCTATTTAATTCTAATTCATGTAAGTACACATCTATGCTTAATGTATAGGACGGAGTGGTGCTAGTGCTAATCTGAGTGTGCCGATGAAGAGACCAAGGCACTTCCATCCCAAGGAGTCCCAGGCAATCATGTAGGTGGTCCTGGCCAGCACCAAGAGCAGATCTTAGGAGGCAGAACCATCGGCATTCTTTGGGGGCTTCCTCATTATTTCAAGGTCCAGATGCCCCAAAGGGGTGGGCAGGAAGGGGACAGGTGGCTTGATTTCTTGGTTCATTATGCAGACAAGAGACACAAATGTCAAGCCCTTGGTAAGGGTCTTGGTGCTAGTGGCTGAGCCCCTCATCGCATTCACATTGTCTCTTAGGCTACAGGTGGCCCCTCTCCTTCCTTGTTCCTTATAAGAAGACCACCCTCAATAGTCACTTGACACAAATGTCTTTCATCTGTAGAAATGGGCTCCTCCTTCACCAGAGAAGACCATGCCAGTGCTCAGCACAATCACATCTTTGGGATCTAAAGAAGTTATTGGACCCTCAGTGGCCAGAGAGGTCTCAGATTACTTCTAAAACGACGCTTGCCTTTCCTCTGCAGGGTCAGATCTCATGGAATCACGCGATTTCCAAGCTGGACAAAGCTCTGGGATTCTAACACCAAGAACCTGGAGAAGCCCAGGCTCTTTCTTCAGCAGTAAAAATTGGCTTTGGAGGCCCCAAAGGCAGAAAGGAAGCAAGTGGGGCTCAGAGCAGCTTCTCGCCTGCCAGATCTGTCTCTACTGGGTCATCATCTCCACGTCCTTTGTAGAACTTGGGACATTCCAACACCCTACAGCCATGTTGTCTCCATTTGGGTCACTCATGGGCATTTCAGGGGAGCAAGTTGAAAACCAGACTTGCCTCCCAAACCCTGACCTCTCTCCATTATGGTTGTCTTCCCTTCACTCTATCCAAGCTCCTCAGACCTGGCTCTAGAACTTCAACTGTTTGTCTTCCTCCACCTTGATTGGCCAAGCCAATATCTCTCCCACTTGGATAATGACAAGAGGCCCCTAAGCTATCCCCCTGCTTCCTGCCCTGGCCTCCGTATGATCCACTCTGCACACAGCTACAGGAGTGATCTTTCTGAAGATCAAACCACAGCGCTCCTTTGCTTAAAGTCTCCCAATGCTGGGCCAAGGGGATAGCTCAGTGGTTTAAGTGCCTGCTTGGCAATCATAAGGTCCTGAATACAATCCCCAGTATCAAAACAAAAACAAAAGCAAACAAACAAAATCTCCCAGGGCTTTCCCAATGCCCTTTGGACAAGATCTAACCTTTTTCTGAAACGTGGCCTTAGAAGACCTTACAAGAGCTAGCCTTGCTGGTGTTCCTGATTTCAACCTGAGTCACATTCTTCCTCAAACATATTAAGCTCATTTCCACCCCAGGGCCTTTGCACAAGCTATTGTCTCTTCTGTGAATGCTCTTCCCCTAGCATACCACATGGCTGGCTCCTTTTTCTTGGCATCTGATCTTAGCTCAAGCTATCTATAGAAGCCTTCGCTAATCTCCCTGGAAAAGCAGTCTTCCCCTTCACCATTTATTTTCTATCTCATTGTTTTTTTTATTTTCTAAGTAGTATGAGTTGCTTATTTGATTTCTCACCCCAGTGGAATGGTGCTAGGGGATTGGGTTGTGATTCTTAGAACCTAGAACAATATTTATCACTTAGTGGGACTTAATAAATATTTCTTGGGATATATAAGTAAAGTCAGTTTCAGCCAGCCATTTGGCCAAAAAGTAAAATTCTGTAAGGCCTTGCTGTTCCTCAGCTTTGAGGTTTAGGACCTTTTTGAACTCCTGCCTCTGCTACTGAGACACAAAGAAGGACTTCCTCCAGGTGAGAACTGTGGGATGGTGAGAACAGGGCTGGTAGGAGGAGGGAAAGGAGCAAGGAGCAGGAGCAGGTGAGAACCGCTTGCTGTGGATCAGGGAGCTCTGCCATGCTCCTGGCCCACACCCCTTGGGTTTAAGTATGTCAAGACCTTTCTGTTCAGGGGCTGGCCAAATAGCTCAGCAGATTAAAACACCTGCAAGCAGGTGCAGGGGCCAGGGGTTCACCAGGCCTGCCATGCTGGTCCCGCCCTTGGGGTACACTGAGATGGCAATTGAGACTGGACGTGGTGGCATGCCTGTAATCCCAGGGGCCCTGCCCTCCTGTTCCAACTGACCTGGTGCCTCTCCTTTGTCCCATCCGTCCTCCCCTGAACTCGCTTCTCACTCATCTCTCCACAGTGATCTTGTGCCTTCCGGTAAAACCGTTTTCCTGGGGGCCGGGGAGATGGCTCAGTGGAATAAGCGCTTCCCTGGCAAGCGCAAGTGCCTGAGTTCAATCCCGGTTCCACCAAAAAAAAAAAAAAAAAAAAAAAAACCCAAAAACGTTTTCCTTTAAGATCACTTCAGCCTGACTCATAGACAGCCTCACAGAGGCCTTGATCAGGCCGCAGACCACAGACAGCTTATCAAGATTGTTCTTTGTCCAGACTGTCACCTCAGTGCTGCTTTGTCATCGTGAATGGCAAAACAAGACAGCTGTGCACGTGCATGCAGGCATGAGCACACATACACAGATGTGTGCACGCAAGCATGCACACACACACATGCATGTGTGCACACTCACACACATCAGCA